GTTCCTATCCTTGGAAACAGTTCTCCAGACACAACTCCTGCCACCACCCATCCCGATCATGTTCTTGATGCAATTAATGTTCTACAGACATACCTTGCAAACACTAAAGCGAATACCCAAGCTGTAGGTGAACCAGAACCAGCCTTGACATCTATGTTTCCTGGGGATGTGTTTAGAATACCGGAGACGGGACCTGGTGAAGATCTGGAATCTATTTCTAATTTACTTAGTCAGCTGAATGTTGGAAATGCGGGAAATCCGTATTTAAATTCATTTTCTGGTTCTAATGACAATAATTCAAATAGCACTGTCACTACAGCTACGGACACGGTAGTGTTGTCAGGCTTATTCAATACTGCTAGAAACAGTCAAAACACAGGTGCCAACTCAAATTCTAATACTGTTATGAACAGTGTTAATGGAGGTGGAACGCCTGTTCAGACTTCAAGTACAGACACGTTGCCAAATTCCGGACAGACACTTACAGCATCAGTTTTAACAAATGCTTCAACGCCTTCGTCACGACTACAATCCGGCGGAAGCGATGCCAGTGTGGGGGCGAATAAGGAATATGTAATTCTCAATGCGGAACTTGAGCAACATTTTCCACAATTCAACCCTCAGCCATTTGCCAACCAGGTTCCCGCCCAACAACATACCTTTGCGTCACCAGAAGGAGCTACCCGGAACGAGCCAAACATTCATAGAGGAACACCTCTTGTAACGCTTCACCAACAGGCTTCAGCAAATCCCAGCGGTTTTCAAGGTTTTAATGTTGGGCACCCCCCTGAACCTAACCTTGAGACATTTCAACCGCTTTTTGGTAATGATATACAGGCAAACAACATACCAAGCAGTGCTGTGCCAGGTCCCCTGGTGCAGACAAACTCTGGTAGAGAACAAACACAGACAGTTATGTCTAATCCATTACAGCACATATCTACAAACTCGGAACCTAACATGAATCAACGCGTGAATACCATCAATAACCAAAAGAATTTGGTTCAGATTCCACAATCTGTTACCTACTACAGAACACCCCAAGGACAATTACTACGTGTTGTGCCTTACCAAGAACAACAGAACGTAGCTCCCCCACCTTCACCATATCCTGTTCAAGGTTATACGCCAAGAGTTGAAACTAGCCAAAGATCAGGAGTTAATTCCCAATTACGAACTCGTCAAATTGATCGGAGCAATAGAAGGATTCCAGTTTCTCCACGTGAACAGCCAGCTGTTGACCCACAAAATGTGCAGCCACAAGTTCGATTTGCCCAAATGCCGTACAGAAATCGAATGAATAATCCTTACACTCTTCAAAGGCGACGTGTTATTCGTCCAAGACAACGCTACCCCTACAGGATGTACCCTCAAAGGTATCAAAACATATACCAACAACCTGCATACAACACTTTAAATTCCAGGTTGTACAGACCACAATACCCAGAGTATCCACCGTTACAGCAAAGAGGTCCTGAATCTTCTCAGCAAGTCTCAGCACCGTCGAATTCGGGCTTCAGAAGCGTTCAATCCCAAAGTCAGCCTGCCACAATTGTTCAAAGAGCCCCCGTGCAAGCCAGGCCAGGGTTTACATTCAATGGAGTAGGACAACGACCTTCAGATGGAGCATTTGGTGTATCCGGTTCTAATATTCCACAGGCCCCACAAAGACCAAGTGCTCCACTATTTCAAATAACCAGTGTAAACCCGGTGCCTCCTCCCAGGGCAGGTAGCATTAACCCCCAAGGTTCTCCTCTACAGCAACAATTCGGAATGCTTGGCATTGACGGTCAGGCAATGAGGTAAGCACCTGTATCTACATCGCCACATGCCGGAATCAGCATTAGGACCACTGATTCGACATGGGAGGGGAAGGACCACAACAAATAGTCAGGAACCAATTTTCATTCTGACACATTGGCAAGTTATGACTACCAAGAACACCCTTTACAGTTACATCAAATGGAATGAATGAGTTAGTAATTAGAGTATGTAAAACATTTAAATATTTCAAAACAGAAGGAATTGCGAATTATTAAATGTCAAGATACTTGTTTGATTTATGATATAGTCAACCTCACAATATTGTGAAAAAACAAATAAACTATGAACTTTGTTTTTCCTTCAGATCATTGTTCATTCTTTATCATAATTATATTGACAAGAGACATATTTAACGTATTTGGATCATTAACAGTTCTAAGCAGTACGGTGGGGCAGGGTACGTATGTGAGAATCTATACGCAGGATATGTGAAAGGGAACCTGACACATGTGTGAAGGAATCTGCCATATGTGTATGGGAACCTGACATATGTGTGAGGGAACCTGCCGTGTTGTGAATTCCATGTTGTGTAGCATGGATGGATGGATGTACCCGTGAAGATCCGGGTTAGAATTGGTCTTCAGCAACCCATGCTTGTAAGAGGCGAGTGACGGGTGGTCAGACTCGCTGACTTGGCTTACACATGTCAGTGGTTCCCAATTGCGCAGATCGATGCTGATGCTGTTGGTCACTGGATTGTCTGGTCCAGACTCGTTTATTTACAGACCGCCACCATGTAGCTGGAATATTGCTGAGTGCGGTGTAAAATTAAACTCATTCACTCACTGCATGTTGTTTGAGAGGAATGCGTGAGTGAGTGAATAGAATTCCACTTCATCACGGCATGTCAGCTTGTTGTGGGAGGAAAGTCCGACGTAGTGCAGATCTGAGACTTTTACTAATTTGGTGAAACCCGCGAGCACGGGTAGGATGCAGACAAACCTCAATTGTGATTCGAACCCACAACTATTAGTTTCAAGCGTGTTATTTTAGCAGAAATATATATGGCAACATATTGATGATAGAGTCATGATTGGATCACTGAACACCGGCGATGATACCAGGTATTCACCAAATCAGGTAAAAATGTCCGACTCTGTGTAAACACACCAGTAAACACACCAGTAAACACACTTGTGTCACAATTTCCTTATAATGTAAGTATTTGTTTGCTGTCTAACGTTGCACAACATCTATCCTTGCACAGGACGTCCGCTATGCAGACGCTTTGTCTTTTGAATGTTGTATTTTAATGGAAACAAAGAACTATAAACGTAAAAATTCAACGCCAAAATCTAAACTTTCGACATTTAGGGCTTCAGTAGGGAGTGGGAGGTATGTGATGCGGTTGCTGGGCTGTGAGACATTCTTGATCCTTCAGTTGTAACTAAAGCACTGTATTCAGTGACCGAGTTCCGTTCTGTCAAAACCTTTCATTTTTCAACATTGTATACCACTATCCCACAAAACAAACTTGATTCATGTGGCTTTTGTAAACATACGTGGTGAACAGAGATATACCTACATATCTATCTTCAGAGGTTCACGACAATTTGTCAAAAATGAAAGCAAATGTCATTTGAAGTTTACCGAGAAAAAAAATATGTGAAATGCTGAACTTCGCCAAGAGGTAGGCATCCCCATGGGCACCAATTGTCCTCCCCTCCGTGCGGATCTGTTTCTTTATGCATATGAATCAGAATTTTTGCTTGGGTTGGCAAAATCACAACAAGGTAATTTGGCCAAGAAGTTTAACTGAACCTCTCGGTACACCGATGATTTACTATCGTTCAATAACCATCAAATAGCCAATTGCCTTCCACTGATTTACCCACCTGAACTTGAAATTAGAGACAAGTGAGACCGCCTCAACTGTTTCATATTTAGATCTATGCATAATGAGTGACAAAAAACTCTCCACAAAGCTGTATGACAAAAGATATGATTTCAACTTTCACCTAGTCAATTTCCCTTTCATGTCGAGCAATATTCCAACAGCTCCAGCCTTTGGTGTTTACATTTCACAACTGTTCAGGTACAATCGAGCGTGCTCTTTTTATCAGGATTCCAAAGAGCGTCGTACCACTCTTGCTCAGAAGTTGTCTGATCAAGGTTACAACATTCAAGGCCTCAGTAAAGCTTTCAAGATGTTTTATGGTAGGCATGTGGAGGACATTACGGAAGTTTAATGATGTCCGCTGCAGTCCCTATTTGACTTATACCAAACGTTCCCCAATTATTCCAGGTGAACAAATGACCAGACTTTGCAAATGTTTATCACGGGTGCCACCAGTGGGGCAGGAAACGTTCACCTTCTCGCGAACACCTGGTATCATCACTATTTCATCGTGATTCATAAACACATGCTCTGTCATCGCATCGCGTGGTGAGAATCACTGGATTGTCTGGTTCAGACCAAATTTGTTTACAAACAACATAATACAGCTGTAATACAAATATATCATGATATAGTCACAATTGCACAATCGACTCTGGGTTTGGCAGAGATTTCCTATGAATGTGGAAAGGGGTTTGTCGCTTCTATCCATTATGATGAATTTATCTGCTAAAAACAAATCAGTGGAAATAGTTGAATTATCATGTTTTATTTCAAGTTTTTCGATCTCAGATAAGAAAGATTATTCATTTAAAGAAAAGACATATGAGTAACAGAGAAGAAGGTATTGGCTGCACGATGTTTGTCAGAATAGCAGGTTTCATTTAGTGGCATCGTGTTCGTTTGAACTTGATGAACAGCCCAGTCAGAAGTAAGGTGATGGCGCACAGTCGTTGTAAATGTGGGTTCATTGATGAAGAACACCATTGTGTTGATGAAGAACTCCAGCTTGAACTGATATCCATGTGTGGTGGCAACATGATAAATTATAGCAATATTCCATAATTCATGTTTCCACAATTCCCTTCATTTATAAATGTACTGATTCTGGATATCAAAACAAATGTCAGCTGATTGTGTGCAGGAATTTCAGTTTCTTTCTTAGTTCAATAATATTTGACCGTAATTGTCATTTATGAAAATGAAGCGCTCAAGCAAAACATTTGAGCAAATCTTATTTCCTTCTTCATTTTATGATATAGACTGGAATATGCTTTCGCCATATTAGATCCAGTGCTGTCGTTGTAGAAAGGTTTATGTGTTATAGAATGTCGTGACACTATGTGGCTGCTCCACGAATAAAGTTGGTAGGCTGTGAAGGGTCTTTCATTGTAAGGGAAAGTCCACTTTGTCCATCTAGTGCGATTGAAATATCAACTTTCTTACCATTTTTCGGACGGTGATTTCGAATGAGAACCGTTTCCAGAGGAGCATTTGACCGTACCCGCTTGTTGACAAAAACTTGTGATGGATCCTTGTTCTGTCCTCCCTGGTTGCCTGGGTTTCGATTTGTTGGTTTTTGAGTCCTGGGTTTCACCCTACTATGGGTTAGGGGATGAGCGGATGGTTGACGCTGATTAGAAGGGTTTTGTCGTGAGTGGACATTTGGCCCCTGTTTACGTTGATTCGGTTCTTTATGATGTTGCGGGACAGGTTTGGAGCGCATATGTGTTTGTTTGGAAGGAATATTAGGCTGTCGAGGCTTTTGGTTGTTCTGGCGGATGGAGTTGCCACGTGATTGCCTCTGTTGAATAGATTGAAAAGTAGACTGTGGCTTAACTTCTTCGGTCCTCCGAAGGGCGTCAGACTGCAGAAGGGGATCCTTACGGTTTAATGTTCTAGGTTTATTCATCTGAAGATTTTGCCCTTTCTGATTCGACTGACGGTTGTTGCTGGCAGCAAGGCCGTTTGGTTGTATATTTGTGTTTCCTCTACGGCTTGTCTGACGAGAAGAAGTTACAACCCGACTTGCTGGAGAATTAACTTCTCTTCTCTGGCCACCTCTTGATGAACTTACAGAATTTGATTGCTGGTTAGAGGTTCGTCTCCGTCCTGTTTTAGGACTGGTATTTGGAGTTTGACGATTTAAACGTGACGCCGAATTGCTCTGTCTAGTTCCAATACGCTGTCTGTTTGAATTTTGTGACGGTTTCGTCTGAACGCCAGGACGAAGTGAGGTTCTCTGATTACCTACTTGCCTTTGGGTCGGGGTTATTTGATCAGCAGATCGTCCCCGGGTTGTTGATGCGTGGCTACTCGGGGGCTGACTGATCCGGCCATTGGTAGTCCGAGCTGGACTCGTCTGGCCTTGAGGAAGCTGCCTTCTTCCGCCATTAGACTGTGGGCGTTGAGTACTCCTGGGCTGGATGGTACGTTTAGGCTGTCTGGCAGATGATGACTGGGCGGCCGCTGAGGTTGAAGGACGTTGCTTTTGTTCATTAATACTGGCACTTGTAGGAGTCGGAGCTTGATTCTGATTAACCTTAGCTGCTGGGGAAGGAGCTGCAAACGGTCCACGATTTGCAAGATGCCTCATGTTTGCATGCTGACTAGTAGTCAGACTGGGATTACCAAAAGATACTAACTGATTCCGAAAACGTTTAGGGGTCTGGGTGCTCCTTGATGGCGTCAACACAGGAGGGGTAGGTTTCGTCTGTGTGCTTCTTGATGGCGTCAACACAGGAAGGGTAGGTTTCGTCTGTGTGCTTCTTGATGGCGTCAACACAGGAAGGGTAGGTTTCGTCTGTGTGCTTCTTGATGGCGTCAACACAGGAGGGGTAGGTTTCGTCTGTGTGCTTCTTGATGGCGTCAGCACAGGAGGGGTAGGTTTCGTCTGAGCCCTGATGGAGTTTGGTGGGTTCTTCTTTGACAAAGGTTTGGGGGGTCGAAGCAAATAAGGGTTTACTATGAACGCCAAAATTGACCGCATTTGTTTTTGTTTTATAGCATATTTTGCCATTATCTTCTGGTAGGGGGTAAAATTCATTGGAATGTGACCCTTTTCTCTCTCAGATACAGATATCATATGTGCCAGTGCGTCTTTTAGGGTCATTGGTGTGTGGTCCCCTATTGCTCGGCTTGAAACGTGCTTGTAAGGCCCTTGCCTCGCAGGCATGTAAACGGTCGGCAGGCCTTGTGGTTGTGCATATGCAGAAAGAATAATTCTAATGTACTTATTTAAAAGCCGGTCGATTTCTTCAGTTCCATTCAAACTTTGTTTTGCATTTCTCAGCACCGTGGCTATATTGTCCAGAGCTTTAGATATCTCCATTATACTGACCAATACATTTTTAAAATGGTACTTGTGAGATTCTTTTCTGTCCACGCCTTGTTTCTGAAGGGGAACGGGTTTGCTTTCTTTGATAACAATCAAAGGTTTGTGTTTTTCATATTTCATCCTGGACGCTTCTGCAATTTGCTCTACAGACTTCCCTGTAGCGAATATGCGAGACCCTTTCGTAAGATCATTACTGGTTTTACTTGGGGTTTGAAGTTTCCGTAGAGGCCCAAGAGCTGTGGGAACCTTTTCCAATGATTGCACACTCGGGGTCTTCGCATGGGGCACAGGAGAATGTGTCATCGTATATTTCCTTTTCTGACGATGAGATTGTGACAACCGCATGGTCTTGAAACTGTTCACGTCAGGTTTATCCCGTTTGTGAATGGCGTTCTGTCGTCCGTGTTGATCATATCTGCCCAGCGCTATGGTATCCCCAGCTGGCAGGAGTGGATTCCTAATCAGTCCTTGGGCTACAGGCAGGGGGGACGGGGATACCTCTCGCAGCTCTGTTGCAAGGATGAACAGGATAGTCCACATCTGGAACAAACAACTACATCAGATTAAGATGCCTGTGATATTCGAAAAAGCAATGAGTAATCCGTAATTTGAGCACACATAGTGAGTGAGTTTAGTTTTACGCCGCACTCAGCAATATTCCAGCTATATGGCGGCGGTCCTTACACGATCTAGTCTGGACCAGACAATCCAGTGATGAGCATCGATCTACGCAGTTGGAATATGATGACTTGTGTCAACCAAGTCTGGGAACCTGACCACCCGATCCCGTTAGATCCATGTTAGAAGTGATCTTCAGTAACCCATTCCTGTCGTAAGAGGCGACTGACGGGATCGGGTGGTCAGGCTCGCTGACTTGGTTGACACATGTCATCGTATCCCAATTGCGTAGATCGATGTTCATGATGTTGATCAATGCATTGTCTGGTCCAAACTCGATTATTTACAGACCTCCGCCATATAGCTGGAATATTGCTGAGTGCGGCATAAAACTAAACTCACTCACCCACTCATTATGTAACATGTTCCATGTGGTACTCTGTGAACCTATATTCTATTATCCAGAAATATGCGAGACATGGTCACGGATGCTAAAACGGTGTCTCGGTTAGAACATGCGGAAATGTTATTACTGACAATGTGTGAGAGAAACGTCAGTCATTCTGCGTCGTCTTCACGTCTCATGAATAACAGCGAAGGTTGACGAGTTTAATTATTCGTACTTTTGACATGCGTTCAACAAAAGCAGAAAAACAGTGAAAATGCAGACATAATCACAACTAAATTCTCAGAGCTTCCAACCCCAAGAGAGAGAAAGCTCCAGCTGCCAGGGTCCAAAGGTCGACCTTCTCGACCGGGTCCTAAAGATCCCTAAAGCCAACGCAAAATTGCAAATTCCCTTCTCACTGAAAACGATGCGTTCAGATCTATTTGTGGGATTTTTAACGGATTTTAATATAATTTTTCATATAAGTTTTTTTCTTTTTTTCTCAGTTTGGCGATGTTTGTGATGTATCAGTGTTGCCTTGGGAGCGTCACAAGAGTAATATAAGCGCGAGTCTCAAGCCAAATCCGTGAGAGTTGGCAGGTATGAATTATGAAATAGATATCCATTGAATTACATTGTGATTCCTTAACACTCAAATTTGTGTTCGTGACAAAGCTAATCATATTTGAAGTGTCCCATTGGCCATTTCAACTTTGATCGAATGATAGAGTGTAGGGTCTCGCAATAAGTATTTTATTGACCACCGAATGTGTCAATAGAAGCCCTGATTGTCTTAAATGATTGATGATCATAACGCTTAGTCAGGAAGCCCCTGTATCATATTTCACCAACTGGACGTTTACAAGACTCAGTACAAAGAATGCTAAGTGTCATGTTTGCGGACGTGAAACGTGACAGGTAGGTGTTTTGTCATTCAGTATACAATTACGCGAACGTGACAGGCCTGGACTTTTACTTCGCGGATAAGGGCGTGAAGACATCAAACCTTGTAATTGTTGCCTACATGATACGTATCCATCCTTTTCCTTACACGGAGAACATGGTTTGACGTATTTAAACGAATGGATTACAAATACTAAGGGTTACGTCCCCTAGTCGTGCAAGGATCTGATTATCGTGAATAATTGTCTTGCCTACTTGTGAATCAGCTGCCCCGAACCCGTGAAGATCCGGGATAGAATTGATCTTCAGTAACCCATGCTTGTCGTAAGAGTCGACTAACGGGATCGGGTGGTCAGGCTCGCTGACTTGGCTGACACATGTCATCGTTGCCTAGATTGATGCTCATGATGTTGATCACTGGATCGTCTGGTCCAGACTCGATTATTTACAGACCGCCGCCATATAGCTGGCATATTGCTGAGTGCGGTGTAAAACTAAACTCACTCACTTACAGCTGCACCTAAAAGTTACAATGACAAGGTAAAATCATTGAAATTCATGTCAACCCAGTGAATTATTTCATAATTTTATGAGGAATGTCGCTTGTCAAGAGTCACGGTTTTCGCAGGTGCCCAGACGTGTAACATTAAAAACTGGTTTAAAAACTGCATCTGTAGGAGTCGCAAATGTATAGGAAGACAGTGACCTTAATATAGCAGGGGATGAAGTCATGACGTCATTGTAGGTATGATCTATACTTACTTGAAGAATAGTATTTTTTACCTAATTACTGAAATATTACAAGGGTATAATTACTTGTGGAAACATATTTGCTTGTAAGATAAATATGCTACGTTTCATTGGTCTATATTGTCTGTGTATTATTTAAAATGCTATAGGGAATTGTGACTCGCTGGACGTGTGACTTAAAAATGATTTTTGTCAACTGTACTATGCCCCACGTGGCCTAAATAACGAAATACTCTTGATTGACAACATAATATTATGCTTTTTTTTCCGCTGTGAGGAGAAACGGTAGTACCGTATCCAGGTACGTTGTCCGGTTGTCAGGTTCTCCGGAACCCTCCCCTCATTTAACAGTGATAATGTAATGTTCGTTTAACTAAATACTCGCGACAGCACTCGATCAGAAGGAGCCACTAGCCTAGCGCATACTTTGGATTCCACTGTATAAGACTCTAGGGAATATTAAAATCAACATGAAATCATAAGTAACAAATACTTCTGTGACATGAACATGTTAGGTATATTTTTAGCGTAGTATTAGCCGAACAAGTCATGTCTTTTCACGTGATATGCCAGGCTGTATAAAATGTACCTTAAACATTCTCAAGCCTCCAGTTTATTGGTTGTAAAAGCACTCCTGTTCTTAAACTGTCAAAAACATGCATTTCAACAATTTCATGCATAATATTCCGGCTTAGAATGTAAAAACAGAAACTATTTCAGTTATTCCGGCGTGCCAGGTTAATCTCAAATACAAAGCTAAAAACGTTTCATAATCTTAAGATATCTCTACTGAGAGTCCATTTATCGATTCTGTCTATACCGTAAACATTAGGGTATGAATCATTACAAATACATGCACAGGCAAACCAATTGTTCACCTCTCAAAACAACGGGAATATACGTTCGACATGTCAGACATAAAACCGGTTGGAACCTTTGCTGAAGCCTTGAATGGTAGAAGTTACATTAGTAACAATTACCTACGAGTTTTAGGAAACCCAGAGCCTAGGCATGGTGCCTACAAACCAAGCATCATAACCAGGGCGAATTTTGGATTCGAATCGGCACGACTAAATCTGATACCTCACGCATAAGAGCATATATTTAGTGGAGTTTACATTCGTTCTGGCGTCGAGAAATTGACATTTATGCACAAAACACTAGAACAATCGGTCTCGCGGATATCCATTGTTCCACCTTCAAGTGAATCCATCATGGAACAGTATCATATGGATGCCGGAAATCCATGAGTGAGTGAGTGAGTTTAGTTTTACGCCGCTGTTAGCAATATTCCAGCAATATCACGGCGGGGAACATCAGAAAATGGCATCACACATTCTACCCAATTGGGGGAATCAAACCCGGATCGTTGGCGTTATGAGCGAACGCTTTAACCACTAGGCTACGACAGGCGATCGATCACGGATATAAAGATGTGCCTTGTATGTAATGAAGTAGAATAAATAATGTTACAGGAAGTTGTTACCTGTCGTTCTACGCACGGAGTCACTAGTGACCACAAGTGACTCCGTGCGTAGAACGACAGCTAACAATTTCCTGTAACGTGATGACCTTCGGCTAGGTCACTGGGGAGGGTCAG